CAAGAAAGGGTAAGAAGGAGGCAAGAGGAAAAATGTAAAATTTGAGTTTGAAGACTATAGATAAGTTGGATTACATAGGGCTAAATGTTTGTCACTTATCAGTTCTTATTCCGAATTGGAATGTACACATTTAGGTCAATTTATTGTGGTAGGCTCATCATTAGTTAATGAAGAGTCTTGGCTTGAGCCGATCTTCATATGCCTATGTTACTCTTTAGGATGTGTATTCGCATGGGTAAACTAACCACCTTCTCATGATTCTAGTTTTAGGGTGTTGCATTTATGTACCTAGAACATAAAATTGTGATAGTATAGAGGAAATTGAATTATTTTTCCTGGTTTGAGCCGCAATTTGGTCATTTTGCCACTTTATTAGGGGAAGGTGGAATGTGTTGTTTTCTTGCTAACACGGTTCCTTGAGATGTAAATGTTGCAAACTCATTCTATCTTTTAGTTTTGGGGATGTATGATTGTTTTTTCTCTAAATTTGGGTTTTCATTCTTTTGTAGGACGGTCAAGTTGGAGATGGTAGTATATTGGTGCTTGTCGAGGATGTTATGGTACCAATTAGTGTGGTATACAATGCCATCAGTATCTTGAAGAAAGAGGGAGTTGAGAAGTTGGATCCTATGATTGTAACTCAAGCTTCAACCCAGAGTAAAATTCTCTCCTTAATGTCTGCTAAGTGATACTTCTCTAGCCTACTTATGCTGTGATCACGAGTGACTGGTTTTGTTTACTGTGTCAATATTCTGCTCACTTCTTGTCAGCAATCAGATGTTTATCTCTTCATTTTTTGGATGTGCGTCTATATGGATTTTATGATTCTCTTGGCTTCTCTCTTCTTAAGTTCGTTCCTATGTTTATACTATCAAAGAAAAAGTTTGTTGCAATGTTACACCTATCAAAAAAAGATTGCTATTGGTTAGGAAACAGAAGAAAATAGCTCTTCTTTACCATAATTATGCCTTTAAAACATGAACTTTTTTTTTTGTTTTCTTTGTGTGTGAGAGAGAGAGAAGCGTGTGTGGAGAAAGAAGTTCTCAGGTTGGTTAGGAAAGAGTGCAAACTCGTCTTTTTTTCCTTTCCGTTTTCCCTCTCTCTGCGACCTCTACTTAATCATCTTGTACCTCTATCTGATAAGTGCTTGTCCCTTGGCCATGATGATGTATTCTTTTTTCCTGGGTTAAAATCTGGTTATTACAGGTCTGACATCAGTGGAGTCTGCATCTAGGGACATTGTTGCTCTCATCTGTAGGTCCCTTGAGTTTCCTAGTGATAAAATGTGTGGGGACATCTTAAGAGTGTTGAAGCCAGGTGGAACAGTCCTACTTAGCCTAAGTTCTCAATCAGTCTCGAAGGTGTGTGAAATGTCCCTTTGTACATATTTTTTCCTTGGAGAATTTGTGTGGGCTCTGAACTGTCCTTTCCGTATAGCAGGCAAACTCCACCCACGAGCACAAGTTATTGTTGGCTGGATTCTCTGATGCTCAGTCATCTGAAGCCGGCCACTCTATCGTGGTTAGTATTTCATCCATGTGCCTTATATCTTGCTTCTTTTCTTCCTCCGCATGCTCGCCACTTCAATATTACTTTCCTTGTTTTAAACTGTGATAACACCTCGCTTTATAAATAAAGAAGTTTTGATAAGATTCTTAACAGCTTTTTCATGGCATTAGAGTCATTCATGGCTTTATTGTTATTGGTGTGCTGCTACTCTAGGCACTGAAGTGATAATATGGTTTGATCTTTATTCAGTTTTCAACTGCGACCTGTGGTTTTATTGTTATTGTTGTGGTGCTCTCATACACTAATGTTCTTTAAAAGCCTTGAAGTTAGTCTTCATAGTGCAGTATCTAGTGTTTGATAGTAGTCTTTTTGGGTCGGTTCAATATTCTATGATGGTCCCAACTTTGAGATCTAGAGAATCCCTAGTTTTACAGAACCTCCACCTGTTCTAACTGATTAATTGAGTAGTCAAATGAAATGGGCCCAAATGAAGTGGAATGCAATTAGAGGATTCACAAAGCCAACCCCAATTAAGTTGGGATTGGGGCACAGATGTTGTTGTAAAAAAGCCTTGAAGTTATTGATCTTGACTTTAAAAAGTCGTATGGCTGATTTAATCTGTCAACAGATAACAGCAAAGAAACCTTCATGGAAAGTTGGTTCATCCTTCTCTATCAAGAAAATCACGAAAAGTTTACCGAAAGTTCAGATTGATGATGATTCAGATCTCATTGATGAGGATAGCCTTCTCACTGAAGAAGATCTGAAGAAACCTCTATTGCCAAATGGTAAGAGAAGTGCAATAAGGTTGTTTATCTCTGACATTATTAGTTTTATCAGTAGTACATTGAACTCAATTTGTTGCTCACTTGCTGGTGCAGTTGGGGATTGTGAAGTCGGAAAAACAAAGAAAGCATGCAAAAATTGTTCGTGCGGACGTGCTGAAGCAGAGACTAAAGTGCAACTTGGGCCAACTGCTGAACAACTGGATAATCCACAGTCTGCTTGTGGCAGTGTATGGTTTCTTCTATATCGATTTGTCATATAGTTGATTACTCTTTTTGCCAAACTAGTAGATCCCTTTGGGAAGCAAGGAAAGTATGATATTTCCACCCGAGGTCATTATCACGGTTCCTTCTGATCCTATAAAATTCAAAAAAAGAATTGGCTGCTATGGAAGTAAGAAAGGGAACTAAATAACAAATGATAACAATCATGGGTTTCATTGGACACTATTTCGGTCCGACCAACGTGGTTGTTCCTATTTCATTTTCTTATTTCAAGCTCTAAAGCACTCCAGTTTTATAGGACTGAGTACATTAGTTAAGTAGTTTCTGCTGGTAAATTGAAACCTAGTGCACGCCAATTGTCAATATTGCCAAATTTGTGTCATTTGGTAATTGATTGATGTTTATAGTGTGATTAGTAGACATCTGAACAACTAGTTGGTTTCTTTCTTCGTCCTTATCATTCTTGATCTTCCTTTTGAGTTTTGCATTTGGTTCTCTTTTTAATTGCTTTTTTTTGGGTGACATCTTCTATGTTTACAGTGTGGTCTAGGTGATGCTTTCCGTTGCGGTACATGCCCTTATAAGGGTCTTCCTCCATTCAAACTTGGTGAAAAGGTACATGTCAAACACAAGCTACGTTTCTGTTCTTTTTCTCTGTGAGGTCGGTTGTGTTATAAACTTATACAGGAATAAGTATCTATTAATATATCTATTACTTACTAGAGGAAAAAGATTGCAGTACACGGGAAGGCAACAATTACTAACATTTTGTAGTTCAGACGCCTGTGTTAATTGCAATAGGACTATAAGTTTTTTGAACTCTGAGAACATGTGGAAGAAGTGTTGCAAAGGGGTGGGGGGTTCTATACTTGTGATGTTTGGGAAACATAATATGAGAAGAGAATGATTAACTCTGCAGGATGTTTGTTATTATGTTCATCATGGAAGTAAAGATCAAACTATATACTTAATCATTTGAGTTGTTTGACATTGTGGTGCATCTTCATTTGGCATAGACATTCAAGTTCTCCATCCGTTGTTGACAGCATAGTGCAGTCTTTTTTTCTAATTGATCTGATGATAAATGATTGAGTTATTGATGTCTTTTCCCCACCAAATCTGACTTGGACATTGAAAAACGACATTGTCTCTTACCTTCTTGGATCTCATCTGGTCATTGATCATACTGCTGCTGTTGTTTCTTTTGAATTCTAAATGAATTAAATTTTAGAGATTATTTACTTTCCAAAGAACAATCTCTAAGAGATGGACGTGGTGAATTCTTGGGGGTAGCTAATATTATCTTCATTATAAAATTCTCGATGACCATCCAGTTTGATAGTTTATTGAACATTGTTGGAGCCTTGGCCATCAAATTGATGCTACTGAGGATTTGGTTGGTGGTTGGTTTGTGATTCTTGTTGAAATGTGAATCATTATCCAACATTATCATTTAGGGCCATGGCACTTGATGAGGTGCTTCACTGAGGGATGATTTAGGGTAGCCCTGATCGTTGTTGATTCTATTAGTATGTTCTTGTTTGCATTGTGATAGTATTGTGAGAGTCTGACACCACTATCTCTCTCATTTGGCAGGTCACGCTTTCCACGAACTTTCTTGATGCTGACATCTAATTCCGGAAACTATTATACTGATGTCAAAGATTTGTTTGTTCGTTCTCTTTTGGTTGATGTAAGATGAGAGAATTATGTACTGTTGTCAAAGGAAAGATACACAAACAGTGTTCTGTGAACTGCTGTTAGATCACTCAGAGTTGTTAGAATAGACATGGTTTTACATGACAAGACGCAAGAGTTTGGAAATTTACTTTCTGATCTTTGGAGCTGTTCTTTAAACCTCTAGTCATTCCTTTATCTGTTCTTCAGTTGTGTATTGAAGTCCTTTTTCCATTCATTGCTTGATGGAAGAAAAAGATGAGCAACTAGGATTAAGCTAGAGGATTGGTTATCTTGGAGGCATTTGTGGGGAAAAAGAGCGTCTTATTGTGGATGCAAAATCAAATTTCTTTCGAGTCAATTCTTGACTCTGCGCTTTTGCTAGCTCATATTTGATGGAGCTGCGTAATATTGCTGATAAAGATGTCTCATTTGTCAACATTATACTTTCCTTATTTCTCAATGGCATTCTTCTAATAGCTCGTGTTCTAGTTCAAAACAGTGCAATGTGCTTGATATCTTTAAGCTGGCAAATGATGACTTTAACCTTTTATTCAAGGACCAGAATTCAGTCTGTACCTCAACATAAAAAAGCTTCAGACTTCAGTTCAGCAGAACAACTGTACCATGAGCAATGTCATACCTTTGTGTTGTTTCTCAGCTACATCTGAAAAAACTATCGCAAAAAAGTAACTAGACAACTGGTTACAATTTGATCATCATGACAAACAAACCAAAAAAAAAGGGCCAGCAATCAAAATAAATGCACTACTCAACTTATAGAGCAGGTAAAACTAATAGGTGTCGCGCTGAAAACTAGTGAATTATCAAGTTTTACAACAATGTGACAGGTCAAAATGGGATCTCACGTTCGAAGAGGCTGAGCTCAAGTTTATGGAAATTTTAAGAAGACCAAATCAAATGAAACGGAATATTTTGCTCTTTCAAGCCAAAATGGAGACAAAATCAGCTTATAAGTACACTAAATGGCAACTTGTATCCTTCCAGCAAGACCTTTAATTGCACCAAAATATTTGAGATGCTATTACTCGCTATCCCTTGTTTAGTATAGAGCACAAGAGGCCGAGATTCCATTTCAGGTGGCCCCTTTCTGAGACAGCTCTTTCATGTATAAAGGGTAGATCACCTTGGCTGTCAGACAAGGCATTGTACTCGAAATTGGAACTGAAGTTGCAAATTTAATACAATTCAGTAGTCATCTATGCACCAGTGCAAGACATAAAGCTGAAGTCCTAAATCAGGGGACCATTATCTATGTGATCTTTGCCTCCGATCTTCTTCATCCCGTCCATCACGGTGGAGGCGAGATTGTTTCTCCATTTCCCTGCTTTCTCTTTTTTCTGTATGATAAGATTCAGATTCATATCTTTTTTGTCCTCTTTCATCTCTCCTATCATCATATTCCTTTGAGATCACATCATCATGCCTCCTAGATTTTCTCTCAATAGCTTCCCCCGAGTCTTGTACATCATCATACCTCCTAGATCTTCTCTCCACATGTGACCTATCCAGATCATCTTCTTTGTAATTACTTCCCTTTTCCTTCCGCTCTGACCTGTGCTGCTCGATATCTCTCTTATAGTGATCTCTTGCAGTTGAATCTCTCTTATAATGATCTCTTGCAGTCGAATCTCTCTGCTCAAGCCTTTCTATGTCACTAATTTTTGCTTTAGAATTTCTTGGATCTGTATCAGAGACTTTGACCTCTTCCTTGTAGTCAGGCCGAGGAGGCCGACCCCATTGGCCAGATCTTCCATCCTTCTTAGAATTTTCAGCTTTGTCATGGGCCCATCTCGAACTTCGATCTTCCTCAGCACCCCAACCTGTGTTTGCAGCTCTCTAAAGGCAAAAAAGAAAATGAATTTTAGTACCCTAATTATATAAAAGATGTCTTAGAAGTTTAGAAAGCTGAAAACTCCAACAAATGGAGAAAGAGGGTCAAGAGATCACAGAATATTGTGAGAAAAGAAAAAATCTGCTTTCCAGTTTCACTTTTACAGGAAATTCGTATGATCACCTTAGTTTAAAAGTAAAGCTTCAAGAGAATAATCAGCAGACAGTTTTGAAAAACAAAGGTGCTGCTTCTCCAAAAGAAAGCTTTTAAAATTGTGCTATGCAAGGAAACTAGCAGCAGTTAAGGCCTAAGATCATAAGAAAGATAACCCAATTTCGTAATGAGGTAACGAGAAAAACTCCTAACAATGGAACAAAAGACTGTTAAATTTTGATCTCCCTTAGTTTTCATTCCACTTCATTGACTGCTACTCACTACTCACACCCTTGGGTGCAGAAGGACAACTAAATCTCATTTCAACATTCTACAGCTTTGCTCAAGATATTACTCAAAACTAGGACTATTGAGTTTCACTACCTTTCAGACTGAAGTTCTACGAAATGAGAATGTTACCACCTAAATGCAATGATATGTAGAATTACACAATCTAAAGCAATATTCGATCATCTCCTCCCAGTACACTGGGATTACACCGGGTATGTTGTTGTTTTCTCCAATACACATGTCAAAGTCAAAATTGTCAGAGGAGTGTGTGTGTGTGTGTGTGTTTTCTAAACTGACAGAGGAGTGTGTTCTCCATCCCTAACATATTCACTAATACACTTGAAGAAGCCATTGCAACTATTACCTCCCGGTAAAGCATATGGCTAGACACCGCCGTTGAACTCAACTTGCACAAACTAATATACACAGACTGAACCCAAGCAACATTCATTATACAAATTCAGAAGTGACTACACTTCCCAAACTACTATCACAACGCAAATTATAATAATAATAACAACATTACATAGAAGATGGCATATAAAGAAACAAGACAATATACAAGAACAAAAGGAATGACTAAGAGCAAACCTTCTCATCATGAGAGAACTTGCACGCAGCACCACGATTGCATTCACCCCTCTGGAAAGAGCGGCAGACCCCTCGCTCCTCCCTCTTTTTCCTCTCTGTCTCTTCATCCTCTTCTTCTTTCTTTTTATAGTTGGTAACATGATCGACTCTGATTATTCTACCCAGGATCTGAGCACCATTTAAGTTATCTGCAAGTTGAATAACAAAAAAGTGAGTTATCTAGCCAAAATATGTTGAACTAAGTGACCTTATCTAAAATCTTATCAGTTAAAGAAAGGACAAATCAAGCACTAGAAATTATTTTTGAGGTTGAATCTAAAAGAATAAAAGAAAGAGAGAGATAGAGACATACCCACAGCAAGATTTGTACTCCTTTGATCCTCGTAAGCAACAAAAGCAAAGCCCTTTGACTTGCCCGTACCTTTATCTCTAACAAGATTGACATCAACAACTTCCCCATACCTAATTAACATCAAAGAATCTATAAGACGCTTCTATTGGATGAAAACAAACAAAGTGGGCAAGGCATGAGAAATGCTCAAAGTGTAAGATGACTTACTGGGCGAAAACAGCGAGGAGATCACCTTCAGTGAGGTCAAAAGGAATTCCACCAACAAATACATAAGCTGAATCTTTGTATCTAGCATGCCAGGATGCCTGATCGGAGATCCCTAAAGATGCTTCTTTTGCATTAATATTCTGAATGCGCTTCACTAGCGTCAACGGATTCATTGCAGTATTCCAATTCCTCAAAACCTAGGTAGCCATTTAGTAAAGGAATAACTAGTTTATTTTGGAGATATCAAGCATTATCTACTTAAATCCAAGAAGATGCATCGTTAGAAGAGATAAACATGAACTGAGACGGTTTTTTTTTTCAATTTCAATCAATCAAACAAAAGGCATGGAGCAAGGTAAGTATGAATAGAAAACCTAGGGTTTTGAACTTAATAAGAAAATCTGAGCTCCGGTTACCATGGTCGGAGAAGACGATACCTGTTATCCGGCGTGATTTCGTATTTGGCCGAAACAGAAGATGAAGCAGCAGAAGGTTTCCTTCTTGTTAATCCCAGAGAGTTCTGCAGATGCTGTGTAGTTCTGCCGAGAAAAAAAGAACGAAAGGGAAAAAGTAACTATTTTAACATTTTTAAGGTCTCTGATTTTAACTGAGATAACTCCGTTGATTATTTTTATTAATCTCAGATTAATTTGAATATGCGCTGAAATTGTTACTAGTTGTCATAAAAAATACAAATAATTTACTAAATATTATTTACATAGAAGAGGTATTATATATATATAAATGGCTTCTTATGTATATTTAATATATTTGAATTTTAGTTGAAACTTTTAAATACTTTTTGAGAATTTCTTCTTACATAAAAAAAATATAAAATAAAATAATTATATTATGCCTTTCTATAAATGTATAGATGTATAATTTCGTTCCATAAGAAAAAAATATGAAAAAAGATTACATGTAATATCTTCTTTAGATGAAAGAACATTCTTATAATGAGTAATGTTTTAATCGTGGAACTTCTACTTACCAATTAACTTTAATGTAGAATAATAATTTTTATAACATGAAAAAAATATAATTAGTGTTCTTGTTCTTAAAAAGTCAAGTCAATTAATTATTGTTATTATAATTTTAAAACATTATGAGCATGTAAGCCAAAATGAACTCAAACAAAAATGACCCAAAATGTCCTCTTCTCATATTTATTCTATATTTAAGTTATTTATCCCGATACAATATATATTTGACTAAATATACATACATCATCTTCTTATTTTAAATATTAGAGAAAAATCTAGCACTAATTTATAATACTAATTATAAGTAAAAGAAATTATAAATTTACAACAATAAGAAGTTCGTACGAGAATTAAACTTAAAAGCCATCATAGAGATACACAAGAAAGAAAGAATGAATGAAATAATACAATACATATATCATTGCGACTTTAATCATTAAAATAAAAAATAGAAGGAAAAACAAAATCAATACATATTGTCTAATATCTTGTCATATCCACTTCATAAGCCTATCAATATTCAAGAGTTTTCTTCTTCTTTTTCAAGTCAAACAAAAGCAAAGAGACATCACTCTTGTTGATATCTACTCCACAAATCTATCACTATTCAAATGCTTTATTCGTATAAAAAATAAATTTAAGAGTCATCGTAGAGATATATATAAAAAAAGAGAAAAAAAAAGTAAAAAGGAATAGTACAATACACATATCATTAAAAATAGAAGGAAAAGAAATCAATACATAACTATCTTCTTCTTCTTCTTCTTCTTCAAGCCAAATAAAAGCATGAATATAATTCTATAGTAAAAATGAAGGATATCATTGGATAAAATCTCATGAAACAAAAAATATAAATTTATATAGAAATAATAGAGGAATATCATAAGGTATCTTAACTTTCATATTTAATATTTTAGGGTTATGAATATGAAAAGTTGTAAATTATGAGAGTTCTAACTATTTGCATATTATGTCTAATAAAGAAGATATATTATGGTGGGAGAGGGTTATGAATATGAAGAGTTGAAAATTATGAGAGTTATGAATATATGCACATTATATCTAATAAAGAAGATATATCATAGTGAGAGATGAAAAATTGAGTAATTGAATATAAAGACTTTATGAGTTATTAAAATAAAATAGATAATTAAATGAAGAAAACTGGTAAAAAAAAAATGAGGAAAAAGATAAATATAAATGGAGGTCATAAAGAGGTGTCACACCACCTTGTCTATGTTCCTCCTTTATATAAATATATAAATTTGAAAAGGTTATTTTTATTTTAAATTACTCATAGATTTTTTTAAAAAAAATTCAATGTATATCAGGGTATAACAATTCTAATTTTCAATTTAAAATAAAAACAAATAATATTGTTATTTTCATGGCCAAATGCCCGTGTTTGGTTATGGAGGAAAATATTTTTCAATTTTCTCATATTTGATTAGTCAAAAATATTCTGTAAGAAAGCAAATTCCTTTTAAATGAGAAAACTGACTTTCGTTGTTTGCATAAGTGACATTCCAAGTTAATTGTCTCTTTCCTACCCACCCAATTCTTCCAACCTTCACCCCTTGACGATCCCCCTCATCCCAACTCTCATTCTCATCCTGCCTCTATAGTATTTTGCTAGATAACTTATAAATATTGTTGAGATAATATTTTATTGCTTATTTATCAAACACTTAAAAAATAAGTAAGAACCTACTTATTTTTCAAGAAAACATTTTCATTGGTAAATCGAAACACACCAGATCAACCCTTGATGGGCTTTCAGGAAATATTTGAACCCAATGAGACGGGACCAGTGCACAAGATCATCCAGAACTAGGTCCATTAGTGAGACAGAACCAGCCCACAAGATCATTCAGCTTTAACAAAGCAGGGTCCATTGTCTTTTAATAATACGTTAAATACTGACTCTACTCTTCATGCTACGTCGAGTTAATCAATAGTTAGAAATATTTTTTTAAAAAAACATAGGTGTTTTAAAGTAAAAGCAAGTACATCTTAAGAGTCGTTTAATATGTATTTGCTACAATATCTCACATATATTTATACTTTGAGTGTTTTTTTAGTACTCTCATTCCACCCCTACTAATTACAACAAAGGGAAAGAAATATACTACTACAGTATACAAAGGCATTAATAAAGAAGAAATAAGTGGTTGACTTGCTGTGTAATACTCTCTCTATTCCTAATTACTTGTCCACTTTTAAATTGACATATTCCCTTCATTCCATATTAAGTTAATTTTTAAGGTATTTCACGGCCTTTAAGAAAAGTAGATTAAGACCTAAATTGAACCTAGTTTTCCATTTTTACCCTTATTAATTATTGTCAAATTTATGATTAAAATAACTAAATATTAATTAATCACTAATTCCAATACTAACTAATGAAGGGTAAAATTGGAAACTCTAAAAGTAGTCTTGAAAACTGAACAATTAAGTTAATTTGAAAAATGAAAAGTGCCTAAAAAATTAACTTAATATGGAATGGAGGGAGCCTATTAAGAAAAAAAATGACTGACATTGTGAATTTACTATTTTACCTCTATTAATTATAAAGTGGATGAAGTAAAAATTTAATAATTTCAAAAAATTCTACCTTTTCCAAATTACTAAGTAATTGAGAGTATAATAGATAAAAAAAAATTCTCATTTCTTGATTTGTCTGGACAAGTAAAAAAAGGAAAATTGGACAATAAATTAGGACAGAGGGAGTATGTAATATTTGCAAAGCTATCGCATTTAATTCGGGGGAACTTTCGCAAATAGCCAAGATAATAAACTTAATTATGCTTCATAGCTCTAGTTTGCATATTTATGGATTGTAGCTACAATTTAAGCTGCATCGTTTATATAATTCACGGACTTGTATAATTTACGGGTACATTTGTATAATTCAATTATTTTTGTGTAAACTCGAAATAACGAATTTATACACTTACAAACATTAGAATTGTAAAAAGTTATATAAATTTTATTATACCAATTCTGAATTATACAAAACAAAAAAACGAAGCCGCATAATTATAGTTAAATAGGCCGCGAATTGTAATTAAGATAAATTATAGTTATGTTAACTAATTAAATAGTATATATTTGTTTATAAAAAAAAATACACTAGAAAGGGAATGTAGGACATGATCTTCATATCCACCATTAATGCCTCAAGTACTTTTTCCACTTCCACCCGTCCCTTCATTAATAGTCACACCACCCAAATTAATGTAAAACTAACACAAAAATTATTACTGCCAGAAAATCTAACATGCAATGAATCTTGTCAATGTCAAATTCACGTGGACCAGTATTATTAATATTGAATATAAATTATGTGTATAACATTTTGTAAAATTTCAATAAATAGCTAATTATATGAATCGATAACTTTAAAAATATAACGAGTTGAAGGCAAAATAATCTTAATTGTTAAACTCATATAGTTTAAATTTTGAATTCACCTATGTCATGACGTAGTCCGTGACTTAATTAAATTTAAACATAGATGTGTGTATCACGTTGCCATTTTACGAATCAATTCGCTGCTAGCTGTTAAATGATTTTACCAATAGTACGCGATCTCACAAAGACAAAAGTAAATCCACTAAATTATGGTGGGGTTTCCATTTTTGTTCCTTTCTAGGTTGATGTTCCCAACTAACTTTCACTGTTTGTAATCATAGATATACATGGAAATAAATTAAGAAAAAAATAAATCTACTCACTGCATCATGAAAAAAATACTAAATTTTGAACCAAATATTTCAAATATATAATTAGTTCTACAGACTACAGGTCCAATCAATCAAACAAACTTAAATCCTACATTAGTCTCTAATGATATAATTATAAATACTTCGTATGAATTCAACATAATATAATTAGTTGTAGCTGTATAAACAGACAAGAATCTCGAATAATGGCAATAGAAATGTCTAAGTTTCTTGGTGATCGATCAATTTTTTTCCATGATGCTAATTAATTGAGGTGGTCCTGAAACTAGTACATCTACTAATTATTACTACAGCATGAAATATTATTAGGTACAATTTTACTTATTTTAAAAAATTAAATATTCCAGTTTGTTTTTCTAATAGGGTCATCCAGTTAATAATCATTGTATTAAAAAAAATTGTTGAGGAAAAATAACTTATTGAGATAATAACTTATTGAGTATTATTTAACCCCAACGAGAAATAATCCAGAAATATTCTTACATAATTAAAAAAAAAATCAATTTTGATTTCTACCAAGGAATATCATAGTCATTCTAGTAGCTAGCTAGGTTTAATTTTCCCCATTTTCTAGTCTAGAAAGAGGAACTTTTACTACTAGTTTAATAATCCACAACTAATTTAGAATAATGATGTGACATATGCATTATTAAAGCATGGTTAGAACAGTAAACAATACTCCTCCTCCCTAATTACTTGTTCACTTTTTCTTTTTTAGTTGTTCCTAATTACTTGTTTATTTTGACAAATCAAGAAAAAACATTTTTTATTTATTTATTATACTCTCAATTAATTACTTTGAA